CAATGCGTAGCGGGAGCGGAAGAGGGAGAGAGAGAGAGATGTATATAGAGCAAGAAGGTGTTAAAGGTTTGTGTTTGCGGTGACAGCTAACTATTTTCTTGTGGCTGATTTCTTGTGCACGTTATTTCCATGAGTTGGTTTCCGACTGATCCAGAACATATCGTGTATGCAGAGAAAAACCTGCTGATCGAATCGAATCGAATCGATCGGCTGTCAATTGATGGACACGTTCCCGAATGGAATGTTGCGATTTATTTGGTGTTGTGTCTTCTTTCAATTCATTTGACGGTTTCCGATCAGAAAAAATGGTATTTGCACGGTTGCCAATCATTTCACATGCAAATTTATTCTTTTCTAATTGATTCTCGGTCGATTCTTATCCAAAGAATTCTCAGAATAAAGAAAAATACTTTCAACAAACAATCCATAGTGATCTTAATCGCATTGTTCCGAACTAACGGATTGGAGTATTTTTCAAAATCAGTCAATAAATTCAATGTTTTCATTAATTCTATTTCATTAACGGTTCTTTCGCTTTGAATGAATGGAAGAAAGAAAACAAATAAATCTATTTAATCTTAATTTTCTCATTTATTGTTAAAAACTTCGTTTCCACGAAAATCAATACGATTTCGATTTCTATGTGTTTGAGAGTTATTTTTTTGCTTTGTTTTCCATCATAAACAAAAGCGATGAAAAAGAATGAACTTTTCCTTTCGAATTGGGACGAACGGGTATTCAGAGAATGTGCTGTCGCGACGGCTAATTCTCTCACATTTCAAAATCAATTATCAGATGAACGAAGAGCCAAGACAAGAGGTTGATGCTGTTGTCTATCGCCTCGTAATGATATCAATTAACGGCCACAATCGATTAAGCCATGATAATTAACTGATTTGCTTTCCAATACAGTCATTCATTCAATCTCACATGGGTGATAAATATCGACTCTGATTGACTCCACAATGTGGAGTCCACATACTGACTCAATCATTCATTCATAACCTAATAATACACTTGCAGCGATCAATCATTTGACGGTTTGATTTGTGAACATCAAAAACGATAAATTGGTATGCATTAATAGAGACATTAAACATCCATTCATATAAAGGGAATTTTTTCGGACTTGAAAAGCATTAGTTTATTCCTTCAATTTATTAGAAAACAATTTCAATGATGCGATCCAAGATTTTCTCTTCATATCAGGCAATTTGAACAAAAAACCGCTTTATTTTCTTTTGCTCGATATATATGCGTTTATGATGTAGAGAAGAAAAAAAACGCTTTGGCCAAACCATAATAATTAAATCGTGGAACGGGTGATCCGCGCTATTGATACACACAGCGCCAAGAATGTACGTATATCGCAACAACATAATTATTAAAATATTTTATTATGAGATTATTGTATTTATGTTGATTGCTTGCGGCATTCTTATTTCACATACCGTACACGCACCAAACCAAATACCAAACTCGTAACTAGGAAGAAAGCAAAATTTCCAACTTGATGCCGCGAGTTGCAATGGCGAGAGGGGGAAAGAGAAAAAAAAATGGATGGTAGCAGCAGCAACACAAAAGAGTTTACAAGGTAAAAACAATTAATGACCGGTCAGCGGAATGAAAGTCTCACAAATGCATTGCACATGAATTTTGGATTTAATGAGCTAATGAGCTTTCTTATTTTTTTGCTACTGCCACTGTTGCAGTTGCCACTTCTGCTGATACTGCAGTTATTGTCTTTAAAATCAACTCAGTGTCATTTTTTTTCATCTCAACTTCTGTTTAAGTATCCATTTCACATGGAGTTTCTTGAACAAAATGCTACAGTTTTGCAATGTGTGTCCGCCTTGAAAATGAAATTTATGGCGATGCAATGCGAGTGAATGAGCGAATGAACGTTCTGAAATAATAACTGAAAGAAAACTGCGTAAGAATGCTTTTGCACGAGCCGATCAAATGTACTTTCTCCTTTCGCGAACCAACTACCGATTGCCACGTGCATTCAAAGTCAGCACACAGCCTTCTAACTGCGTCGCATTATGAATATTTGCGATCATAATCATATGCAAAAGATTAAGCGAATGAAGAGAAGAAAAAAATCGCATAATGAATGGGTACATAGTGTATTTTACCGGAGAATTCGGCCGCTGTGCTTCGTTTCACCTGATTTGCATACAACAAGTGCAACAAAAAGAAATAGCAGAACGATAGAGACGCAAAAAAATAGTCGACATGAATTAAATCATTTTCCTCGCTTGTTCACAACACGTGAAAAACAAACAAATTGTGTGCACAGTTTTTTTGTTGCGTTCAATGGTTTTTTTGTTGCTGCATCTTTGCACGCTTCATTCCATGGAACACGATCTGTTTCAATGAAATGGATGGATTAAAAAAACACACACACACTGAATCAACAAACACGAAAGCAGCAAAAAATGGCATATAATAGAAAAGGCTTTCAGCCTCAAGATGAATTCACATCAGAACCAGAAGCATAAGTGTAATTAATATGTTTGAATGTAAAATTAATTACTTTGCACCTTTGTGCAGTCGGTAATCAATTAAGCAAAACCAGTAAGCAATTTAAATAAAATCTTATGGATGGATAAAGAAGCAGCAGCAGCAGCATCAGCCACGGCATTAAAATCATGATTAAACAAATGACGTACTCGCGATTATTGCGCGGTTAGCGAAATGATTCAATCCGTTGAAACGGGTTGCAAGAAATGGCTCAAAAGCACATCAAGAACTCATCATTCAATCGCGATGCGTGCACAAAGTTCTGCTCTGCACTGATGACGGCTCATGTTAGCTGAATAATTAGAACGGTTTGGTATCGTAACGTACGAAAGTGCACACGAAATTGTGTATGTATCGCGGGTGCGCGTGATACTCTGCGTGCACATTCTATTCAAATAAAAACAAATTAATTCATTTAAAATGAGAAAATCGAGGGAAAAAAACCGAATCAACAACAACGATGGAACGCAACACTATCACTGGCTCATCTCAAGCCAACGAATACCCGTTTCATCGACCGAAAGGCATAAGGAGTCTAAATCCTACATTTTATGCACCTTTTGGGTGATGAGCAAAAGAGCACCAAGCATTTCACGTCATCCGACAATCTAGAGGAACTAGAGCATGTCTCTCGGTCCGATTTCCAAGCATTTCGAAATCAATTCAACAAATGGCAATTTCAAATTGGAAGAAAAATTACAATTTCTACGATTTCAATCACACAGGAAATTAGATTCCACGAAATTGAAAACCGCTTTCTCCGTTTTCACACGAAAAAAATAGACGATTTCCATGAAAACCAACCACTTTGTGATTGCCAATTTGACATTCGCTCTGCGACGCCTCACCAATCGCGCTATATCGGTGAAATTTTGCAATCGGTGCACCGTGCGCGGTGTGCTCTTGTCAAAACAAGTATTCGAATGGCGTGCCGTGATTTTGTTTGCAATTTAATTAGCAATATCGTTTTACTTCACCATTCGCGAGCCGTTCGCTCATTTTTTAGGTCTTAGGCTTCTTCAAACATTAATCGATTTATGCTATATGCACCTCTGTCTATGTTTTTTTTCTCCATTTTTTCGAGACCACAAACTCGTCTCTTTTGCACTTGCCGGTTCTGAATCGATCTAGAAAAAAGAAGAGCCAAAGATCGGCTTGTTGTCCAACTTTCAAACACGGAATCACTTTTAAAGCATAATTTATAAACCAATCATTCATTTTATTTGCAATTTATTGCGATAAATGCAATGCACCATCGGCGCAGACGCTTCACCATTGCCCGGTGGATAGATGTGTATCGCGAAAATTTATCGTGCCACTGGGCCGAACGAACGTCAGCCACACGTTAGCCGAACATTAATGGCTTCAATAAATTATTATAAAACAATAATTACGGGATTGGTTTTGTGAACGGCGGACGCAGTCGAATGGCCGCAATTGAATAACATTAGCGCACGAGCGCGTGCAAGTCGCGAAACATCAATTTTTAAAATTTTATTTCATCTCATTTCGTTACGTCGAGACAATTCTTTTACAGAAATGAGAAAAAAAACACCGGATTATCAGACAAATCTTCTAAATGGTCTTCTTTTCGGAGAATCGATTAAAAAAATGGTCAACGAATTCAATGAACTACGATGTCCTTCAAATGTTATGGCATCGATGCGATGACTTTGGAAGTTCACATCAATTTTATGAGCAATTGTATCGTTTTTTATATTATTCCATAATCGAAACATTAATTTCAAATAAACCATTTCAAATGTACACCTCAATTAACCTCGACCAAAAAGTGAATACACTTCATCTATTGCATAAGACTTTATATAACACTGCAATTTAAATCCTAATTCGATTGGCTCGAATGTACAATTTTATGGAAAATCGCTCAAGATGTATATATTTATCGATTTAATGCAAGCGAATGACCCAACTGACACTTCTAAGCTTGTTTCGATCGAGTCGAAGATGTGTAATGAAATTCCATGTTTGAACGTGGTCTGAGTAGAAACGAGTAAGGCGCTAACGTTTTTTTTACTAGTTCATAGTCAACGAAATGCTATCAACTCAATCTATCTAATCAAATGAAATGGCCGATTTTCCATGTTGAACCACCTTTTACATTGGATTGGTAACAACAAGCACTCATTTAAAAATCGATAAACATGATAGTTTTTATGTTCTCACGTATAACATGGTTGGCCATATTGTATCGAGGAAAATTGGCAATTAATCTGTTAATTATGGAAATTTTAACTCAATTCATTCGAAAGCCAGAACATGAGTTCATAAGAAAACCTAATAAAACGAGTGTTCAGCAGAGTTTGAAAAACATTGATGCGAAAACCGAATACTTTGGTGAAAACTGGTATTCAAGCAAGAATCATCACCTTTTTTGCATATTTGATTAATGCTTCCGACGGCATGGTGTGCTGCCATGTTCCATTTATTTTGACATAATTTATTTCATTTACCTGTAAAATACGATGCGTCCAAGTGCGTATTTCAACGATGCTAAGTGCGAAGCTTGAAATCCAATTTTACAAATGTCTAAATTCGAATATGAAAACTGTGGCCATTTTTCAAACGATGTGCCGCCATGCTTGCTGTGTAAAAATTTCATTGTACACTTTGTGTGAACGCGAAACGCGCACGCGCGTATTTGCATCGATTTGATGTGTAAATCGGTTGGTTTTGAATGCGCGCAAACACCGAAATAGGAATATGGAAGAAGATTCGCATAAGTCATGAATTGGTCGAGTCAATAAATGCCCAGCATGTAATTCATAAATATTTATGTGTGTGTGCCCGAAAGCGCAGCTTTATTCGACATTATTCCAGATAACCAAGATATAGCCAGCATTATTATGGGCATTGCTGCGTTCGTGTGTGTGTTTGTGCACTATGTGAAGATGAATCGTTCGGTCGATCTCGATCGGACGATTGAAATGCGCATGTGCGTTCGATATGCCTAACCACGAAAAGTTACCACGATGAAAAATGGTTGTCCAGCCAGCTGGAGACGTGTTTAAAGAATTTAAATGGCACTTTGGTTCTGCTAGTTTAATGTTCAGATGCGTATAAATGGCACACAGCTCACTCGTGCATCTTCCGGGTTCAGAAGCTAAAAGCGTGTATTAGATATTTACGTTGTGTGAGTGAATGAGTGGCCGGGTGAGTGTGTGAGGGACTGAGTGTTCTTTTCATTATTTATATTATGTATCTTATCGTGTTTTTTTTTCTATTCCGAAGCGGCTGTAACGCTGTTCTTCCAACTAATTTTATCTATATGTTTAACGCCTGCCTGCCTGCCTGTTGGCTTTGGTTATTTTTTTCTGTTGCACGCTCAAATTGCACCCAATCCGTTTTCACATCAAGCCGAAATCTATTTTACGGACTGTGGTTTACGCAATGGTCTTGCGATTACATTTCTTTCTCATTGTGTACATGGAACTTTTGTTTGTTTGTTCTTTTATCGCATCGCCTCCTCGCATCAACTACACTCGATTGACTCGGACACATTCTATGCAGACACTCACTCACTCGCACACAAAATAAGTATCCGCGAATAAAAACCGCACATGATTTATGGGAATTCAGTTTTATGCTTTGGTGTATTTCAAACGCTTTGAGATTGGAATGCGTAAAATTGTTTTTTTATGAACTTTGCGCATCGGCAAAGAGCCATGCAAGAGTGTGTATGTTTTGTTGTTAAGTGGGTCAAGAGTTCCATTTCTTTCACTGTGACAATATTAATTGTTTTTTTAAATGTGTTCATTGGCAAGCATATGGACACAAAATGATTTTGCGGAAAGGTTAAAGTCGACTTGAAATTAAACGAAGAACCTATTAAAAACACCTTTATTTTACGATCGTTCTTGTGTTGATTGTAGTACGGTTGTGTTGTCGATAATTGGAAATAATAACCATGTTTCACGCAATCTTTATAGGTATCAAAAAACGTTCTACTGATTGAGAGCTATCCCATTCACTGTAACAAGTTGAGTGGGAAACCAACTTCCCCTCGCGGATCTATATGCATCACGATGAAGGCGACATAAAACTTAGATTGACTATTATGCTTTATGATGAAGAGTGGAAAAACTTGGCAATAAATATGAGTTGAATTCTATCGAAATGATGACTGACGTGTGAATACTTGTGCAATACATGCAGCTGGTTGGCCATCGAAATCAGACGTTGGCAATCGTTGTTGCCGTGTGACTGACGCACATATAGAAAATAAGTCGCACGATATCGGCGACACTAACAACATTGCATACACAATTTTTTCATCTTCTTCTTCTGTACCAAAGCGCGCCAAATAGTCCTAGCTACGGAAAATAATGATGATAGAAAAAATGAAGAGGAAAATGCGATGCATAGATTTATTCAATTCTATTGATTATTTCGTTGTTTTTGATTACGAGCCAACGAGCGTTCGATATTGAATGCCGTCTTCGCCGGATTGTTAAAACGAAATGAAGAATACATCAAAACAGACAACATAGATAATAGGCGAGCTATGATAGTTTCACAATGTAATCAAATCTTATTGGCTTTTAAACAACGGAAAAAAAGAGATATATTCAAAGCAATAAACAAACAAACAAACAGCACATCTCGTGATTTTCATCGATCGATAGTGTGTATGTATGTGTCTCGTCGTTGGAATTGGAAAATGTTGGCATTTTTTTTTCTATGTTGTTCGCATTCACGTCTCTCATCTTTGCACAAACACCAAAAGCGATGCGCTGATCAAAATCCCAAGGTATTAATTTTCGAAATTGAGCCAACAGCCATTTCGATTTCGATGAATCGCCGGCCGAAAAGGAAAAAATTTATTCTATAATGATTAAAATACGGCGAACGCTAAATTGAATCGGCACATTGGCAAACAGACATAGACACACACACACGATTTGGACGCGTCGTGCACATGAAATGTCGTGGTTCGTACCTTGACGCGATTCGTTCCATATGCTGATTTATCGAGGAAAAAAATGCTCGACCAACCAAATGAGTGTTGTTGCAACGGCGTATTCAATGCAATTGATGCCTCGTTTGGATTGGATCTATGTAAGCTTTGCTGCTGTTGCTCATTCCAAAACACCGATTGAGAAGGGAAAATAAAAATAAAATTGAGTTTGTGTGTGTGTCTGTGATTTTGTGAGAGTGGAACACGAGAAAAATTACATTCGATGTGCAGATTCTACACACGACGAGCATTTTTCTCTCTCTCTCTCTCTCTCTCTCTCACTCACTTCTTTCACTCGGACTTAATCCATGCGATTATGTAACATGGCATTCGTTAGTGAGGTCCGGGCGATTTTTATGCGTTAGCATTTGCCAGTTTTCAATGTAAAATGCGTTTTATTGTATCATGTTTATGAAGAGAGGAAGAAAAAACGACGCACAACGAATGTAAGAGAAGATTCACATTCAAATGTGAAAACGATTTTTATTGATAGTCATCGCTAACGAAAACGAATAAAATAAACGACTTTCGAACCGATTTAGGCTCAACATATTTTGCGCTTGGATAATAATCAATTTAGGAATGCGCCATCGAACGAAGCGTTTGAGAGAGAAAACATCCATCCAATCCTTCCTCTGATATATTGCATGCAATCCGATTCTTAGCACATTGTATAATATTTGATTCGTTCGAGACTACGATCGCTATTAAATATTGTTTGGTTTGATGAACATAGATCTCCGTTGCGATTGTTGTTTGTGCGGGATGGCTGGCTAGCTGGCGTATCCGAGAAGAGCATTTCGACGACCTTGAATTACCCACACGATATACTACATACACAATTGATCATCCAGCGTGCGTCTCACTATAGCCAATCAAATGCATTGCATGAACAACAACAAAAAAAACACCATCATAATTCCGATCCTATTAGCAACAATCGCTTTTACTGTTTGCGTTATGCAGAGCATCTCGGTGCATGATTAGAATTTATTCGCTATAAAAGTGATTTTATGGCATTCAAAACGAAATGAAAATGTGTTGCGTTTCTTGTGCATCAATTGTTTGCTATTGGATTTATTGAAGCAAATAGAATCGAATTGTACGAATCATATGGACCATACGGACCATACCAATCGATGTCGATTGTGAACAATGAATTCTAATGGAGATTTTATGCCAATTAATAAATTGCCAATGGCGCATAATCCAGCATATCCACAAATCAGCGATAAAACATAAAAACAATAGAAATCAAATTCGATTTTAGGCCCGTTGAACCAATGGCGTATGCTTTGCTGCTGGCGCAACGGAAATGCATGTGGTTTTTTTTCTGTTTCAATATGTGTTGATTTACCGACGTAATCTAACGCCGATGTTAGAACGATTTGTTGAAAAAGCCCAACGGCCACTCGAACTGAAGACAGAACACACTGAACGTGAAGCACACTGCACCAGAGCGCAGCAACACACACTATTAGACCAAATCGTTAGGTGTCGACTTATAATTTGATGTTAAATGGTCAAAAAACTAGTGATTTTTACAGACTCTAGGCGTACAAAGCACGGCTAATGAATGATTGGCCAGTAAACAGTGTTTGCCAAACACAAACCATATAATTAGTTTCGCCTGGTTATAACACTCCATTCTCGTTTTCATGTAAATTTTTTTTTTTTGCTAAACATTGCTGTCATTACAGAGAAGAAGGGGAAAAAGCACACATCAAACATTGAAGAATGGTATTCCATGTACGTGGTTTTTTGTTTGTTTGTTTCGGTCCAAGTACTTGCTATCCACATGGAATTGAATTAAATGGCGTGTATTGAACAAGTGAGCATTCTATTATTAACAATTCGTCATGCTGAATCACGGTATAAATGATATGTTATCAGGTTTTTCTTTCTTTTTCTGCCCATTAAACGGTCGATCTGTTTTAGCTGGAACAACAGCCATAGCGTACACATCACGTCGGTTGCGTGCCTAATACTCTTGCGATGAATTTTTTTATTAATGATAGCGATTAAACGTTGGACGAGTTTTTGCTTGGTATCTCATTTGTAATTTTGCTTTGTGTATGTCGAACATCGAAATATTTTAATTGTTAGCAAATTAAAGGGATTTTAGCTTTGGATTTGCATATGAATAGAAGGAAAGTGTCAAATGGCAGTTTGAATATATCGTAATTTTATCACGTTGAACTCTCCAAATCGTCGTCAATTATTGCAACACACAAACAACCGAAAAATAACCAAAACACCAAGAAAAAGAACAGTAAATTCGACCGGTTCACTAGAGCGAGTTCAGCAGCGAGAATATTTTCTCCTCTTATTTTCTTCCGTTCGTTAGTTAATTTCTTGATTGTGTTATATATGCGACACCAGACCAAATAATGATACAATGCCTTGGTATTGAACTTCTCCCGTCTTTTTGGCGAAACATGTATGTATGGGCTGTGAAGCGCGATGCGTTCGTTCGTTATCTATCTCATTTTGGCTTTGTGTGATTCTCATCATCGGAAGAAAAATACCGTTTTAATGTTTCGATCTGCCGGCTGTTATGGAAACTTTATATTGAGCTATGTTTCTTTGTTGGTGCTGTTGTTGGTTGGCTTAAATCACGTTTATTTTGGAATATTTTTGAACTCTTTGGTGAATGTATGAATTTCATTCAAACTAGTTCATAAAAGAGAACGAGAGAAAGAGAGAGAGAGAGAGAGAGGAAGAGAGAGAGAGAGAGAGGAAGAGAGAGAGAGAGAGAAATAATAATGAACGCGAAGAGGCGATCGATGATTTTTTGTCGGTATTTTGCATAAACACAATTCAAACTTATTCGTTGTACATTAACGTGCAGCATATGCATGGGTTTCGAAAAAAAATCCACAAAAAACGCACAACGACACAAAAATGACGACAGCACCAGCAGCAATAATAAGAACCATGATTGAAATAACACACTCAGCAAGAGATAAAAAGCAGTCACCATCGTCGACCGATGCGAAATTTTATCAAACAAACAAATATGCCCCGAAAAAATGTATCGGCAAGCAGATGAAACGGGGCACATTGCTCTGCCATTTAATCGTAAATGTTTCGACTGCTTCACATTTTTTCGCTGCGCTCATATTCCGGGTCAGTTTTTTTATGTTCGCTTCATATCGGCGTGCAGTGTGTATGATTCGGACTCAGAAATGCACAACGATGCGCAGAATGAAGTGTTTTTCTTCTGCATGTATGTGCTTTACTATGTGCACATCGCGATTGCCAAATTTTCGTTTTCGGACGCGTATAGTCAGTCAATCGATGGAGTGAATGACGGTGGTTTTTTTCCCTCTTGTACATGGATGCTTGTGCAGCCGGGAGTATGTAGGTTCGCATAAATTCAAGTTCATAGCACTTTTTTTCAAGTGCATGTTTGCAAATTCGCATTCGGTATACGGCACACGGTTTATTGGCCAGGTTGGTTGGTTGGTTGTTGTTGGTGTGAGTTATGTTCACGTTGAAATGTACGCGAACCATGAACTTCGATAGACGGACGGACACGATTTAGGCAGAGAGAAAGAGATAAAAGAAGAACATTACGTGGTTTTTTTTCTGCTTCATTTTCACAGACCGAACCGATGGGTACAAAGCACGCGGTGTTCCCGTATTTATGGATAAATAATGTGAAACTGAAGTTTGCTGCTAGAGAATAGACGTGAATGGCGAGCACGGCCATCGTAATAACGTCATAATAATCATATCAAAATTACAATGTGAATAAAATGTACGTAAACGGAAGAATGGAAGACCAGAACAATATGAAACGGGTGTTTTCTGGTGAGAGATTTCGCCGTGTTCTCACTCACACTGAACACAAAAAACACACATAAAAATGGAAATCAATAATTTATAAATGACGCGAAAATTGTGACTAGAACCGAGACAATGTTCGAACATAAAAAACCATTATACATGCCGTTTAATGCACATTCAACCTTAGATAAACCAACTTTTTTTGCAGCCAATTTTCGGACCATTAATTTTAAATAAAGGTGTCGACAGCGAAAAGTGAATTTGATTTTGGGGAATGAAAGGAGAACAAAAAAAATGGATGATAAATTGAAAGAAACAAGTCTGGAAGTGAAAACTTGTTGTGAGGGAAAAAAAAAACACTTAAAATTGACTTACCTTAAGAACTTAATTTCCATTATTTTTCTCATCTTGGAGTTGATGACAAAGGCTTTAAGTTAAAAAAAGAGGACGCTTTTTTATTGGATTCCACAATCCCGGGGTAAATTTTATCTGTTTCTTTTTTCAAACGAAAACTTAAGAATATTCTAACTATAAAAATTCCGAAGTGAAAAAGAAGAATATTTGAAAAATTCACTAATATTTCCACTGAATTCACTTTGACTTTGAAGCACAAAAACCGCAAGTTGGAAAAAAAACTCAAATTTGTAATTTCAAACCTCAATAAAAAAAAACGATTTCGAATGAACGTAAGTCGAGAAAAAAACGTTACTCCAAACGAAGATCACGTAGAAAATTGTTGAGTAAGAATTGCGTCAAGAAGCGCATCTACTTGCCTCGATGTAAAAGAATCAACTGAGCTGTGGCACGATTGAGTTGCTATATTATAGCCATTCATCAGCAGCAACAGCAGCAGCAGCAGCTCCAGCACAGCGATGTAACAGAAGAGCCGACCAAGAGCGACAACAACAGTAATCTCAGTACACCGTTCGTGCCGTCATCGTGTTCGTCTCAACCGCAGCGGTCGACCATTCTGTGATGGCTTTGCTGTATGTTCGTTGTGTGTTTATTTTTATTATTCTTTCATTTTTTTCGCTTCTCTCTTCTTTCTTTTTATTTTTATTCATTTTTGTATCTTTCTCCCATGGACTTTCGTTTGCTCATATACTCGCCAGCCAGCATTTGATGCAAGCAATCATGCTCTGTTCTCTCCGTTTCTCTCTCTCTCTCTCTCTCTCTCTCTCACTCCCTTTTATCATCATAATACCACATTTTGGAATTCAGCTGG